GGGTCGAAAAAAAGAGCAGCCCAAAAAACATACCGCGGTCGAAAACAAGATGAAGCAACTGCAGTCTGGAAAAAAGGAGCAGCCTGAAAACTTAGAGCTGATTGTTGTTCTTCCCTGCGGAGAAGGCGGAATTTGCAATTGAATGGCTGGACCAGCGGCAAATTCACATTTGCAGGCTAGCTGCTCAAAATTCGCGTTTTTTGAAGGTAAATGTTTGTTTGCAATGCATGCAAGCTTATCATTTTTACGAATGCAAAACGGATTTTGGATATTGCCTTGAGCATGTATGCCATGTGCATGGACCGAAGTTTGCTGCCGGCAGACCGCAGTCATGGGCCCTCCATCGTCATTTTAGGCATCATGATCGAAAACGTCACCTGTAAACTCGTTAAAAAACTCGCATGACGTAGAGTGACAATCAGATCAGGCAGAAATCGCTTGGTCATCCACCAAAGACACTAAACAGATGCCGACAATGGCCGACAGTAGTGATGAGGAAGATGGCTGGAATCAATCCACCCAGATCGGATTGCAGGAAAGTACGTCGTCTTAACCTTTCCTATTACGTTGCAAAAACTTGCTTGTGCAGGACTTGCTGAATGGTTCTGCGCGTGAGAAGCCGCTCCTCATCAGTGGTGTTGATGGATTGGTTATCGCTCCAGAGAAGGTCTTTTGGCTGCATGGCATTTGCATGACTGACTCACCAAACGGGGCCAAAAGTTGGTCTGTGGCATATTGCATATCCATGACTTGACATGCAACATGTTGCATGTATCAGAATCATGCTGTGAGGACTTCCCTGCAAGGTCGTGGCCTCAGACAAAAAGGACGTGTGCTGTAGACTCACTGGCTACAGGTTGTCCACGCAGCAAGCACGAAGCTCAGAACATTACTGTTATCGGAATGATATGTGTTGCAATTCACTGCGAAATGGTGTTATTTCGTGCCGGTAGAAAGCCAAAGTGAGACGTGAACTGTGAACTGATGGATCTGTCAGCTGTGTTTCTCTGTGTTTTTGCAAATGAGTTCCTATAGCAGCGTTATATAGGGCGGCCACATCCCACTTCACCTTATTGGAGCCGGTGAAGTTGCTAGGGTACGTCGGTTGTGGCGATTCAGCCTCGAAAGTTAGTGTGTTTGAGGGTGCAAATGCTTTTTGCTGGTTACATGCTGACCGGGTTGCGGCTGGCGGGCCATGGTCGTGGCGGTTTCCATCGCCAGCAGCTCCACAGGATTTCGCGCGCTTAGCTTATCGGTGGCACTGTAGAGGCCACGAAGATACGATGTGAGAGAATCTGCAGGAGTCAGTCACGCAGATGACAGCGCCGACGCGGGGCTCGAAACCCACATCGTGGACGCACCTCGAAACGCTGAGGCAATAAATCACTTCGATGACTTGTCCCACACAAGTGCCCGACGTTGTGAACTGTTGATTCGTTGTTTTCTTGCCAGGGTCGGGCAGCTCAAGAAGCGGAATGGGCTGGTGATTACGATGGCAGACAGCACTGGTCTCTCCGAGAAGCGTGCCCTTTGTGCAACGGTGATGTCATGGGGAACAGGCTGGAATAGCAGGTGAGGTATGGGCGCTTGTTGGGAGGAATGTTAACCTTAAGAGAACTTCGGGCCACAATGTGCGCTGAGAGTTCGCTGTGCAGTTCGCTGTGCTGCTCCGGTAGACTCCCACAATGTTGAGACAGTCGATGTGACTAACCCATCAACCACTGAAACCTGACTTTGCGTTGTTTTTGCTTGCCCAGACCGTCCAAACACTTTCGAAATTGCAGGGTTGCCATGCTTCTTGTCGCGCCGCCTGATATTCGTACGGCGAGCAAAAAACAAAAGCTTCAATTTTTGGTGGCACCAATCTCGGACAGAACGGTTGCTCAACGCCGAGACGTCGTGTCCCACTCATCGTCGCCGCCTCTGGTTGCCATGGTTGTATAATTTGTGTGCATTTGCTACAACATGTTTTGCTGCTCGATGCCCGAAAACTTGGAGATATTTGGACTGAGTCATCAATCCGTACAAAAAATCTTGCACGGTCGGTATACACTCGAATTTCGTGCTTTCACTCGATGGCAACGAGTGATAACGCGGTAACTCGTGTTTTTGAGAGGTTTGGGCCTGGACCACGAGCGTTTCCAGTCAAGCACTTCTCGTCGCAAGACGCGTGATTTCCCGATGGTTTTGGATTGATTGCGTTCCGACTCGAGCAGTTGCAGCGCACTGGCAGGGCTTCTGCCGCTTGCATGACCCACCAAATGCGGTGGAACGAGTACCCTAAAAATCGCACACACAGAATTGGAGGCTTTGTTCCAAACATAAGTGTGACGTCATGTCGCTACAAGTTGCCAGGCACCATAAGCGGCGAAAATTGTTATCCACGTGTGTTTAGTTAGCTCTGGTTATGTGCTGGTTTCTCTGGTTGCCCCGCCCCCCATGGAGTTCATTGTCGGTATGCTTGACTCGCTGCCAGATGCCATTTGCATGCAACTATGTGCAAATTCACGAAAAACGAGCTTCGGACAGCTGCGGTTTGCGAAGTCGAACTTCTCTGATGGAGTCCTTGGTTGGCACAGGCAATCGGGAAACTTCGGGCTCCAGGCCACGATGATGACAAGTGCCGCAACCGACGTTCTGAATTTCTGCAGGGTGCCGCCGTGGGTCGGAAAAATGTGCGATCCTCGTCAAGTTGTTCGTTCTCCGTTCTCACACGCCTGACAAAGCACATTCTGACGCGGGACATGTCGGCGGTAAAACATCAGGAAGACATGGCCCCAATCAGTACCAAGTTCAAGCCAAGGTCCGATCATTGCAAAGATTTCGTTGCCTCGAGGAAGAGACCTCTATTTTCATGCAATGATGCCCTCCCTCATCGCACAAATCGATCTTGGAATGAGTGGCAAAAAATTTCCTGGTCTTTCACGCGAAACCGAGCTTTGCATGCCCAAGCGAGGGCCAGAAAGAGATGAGTAAAGGCGTTGCCGCACCGGAGCACGGCATCCTCCAAGGCAAAGCGAACTGCGGTGTTACCTCACCATTTGTGAGGCTGGTCCGGTATGTCACTGGAGCCATGCCTGGCTCATCCTGGTTCCCAGTTCCCGTCGCTGCGCCCCCACCCCGAGCCTCATGTTTGCCCGGACTTTCTTTGCGCAGTCGCAAAACCAGAACAACCAGGGGTGCGGAGCAAGCCAGATGGCGGAGTGCGTGGAATCACCATGCATACCATGCGCGATATGTTCCGTCGCTTAGTTTCGAAAGCACACGCCCTTGCAGCCCATGCGCAGGCCGCCCTTTGCGACGTGCAGAGGAGCCGCATACGACAGCATGTCGCGGGCAGCCTTCCTTGGCAAACTCCCTGAGGTGTCACCGAAATTGCTCCCGTTCGTGGGCTGGAGCTCTTCCATGTACTGCTGGTGGGACGCTGCAGGCCCTGCCGGGACGTTTGGTTTTTGAGCGGACCATTTGGCTGAAAGCTCCACCACGCGCGGTCCCAACGCAGCAGGCTACCGCGTGCAACCAGACCCGCTAGCACACCCCAACTCGCCAGGCCAAGTCGCAACATGTTTCTGGCGTCGGAAACCAGCCGCCAGGTGACGCAACGCCTCCGTCGTTGTGGTGGCGGTGCAGGCGGTCATCTGCTGAGCAATGGCTTGTCGCAGTTGTGCGAGTGGGGCCAGCGGCCGGCGTGCAGACCGAGGACATCACTCAAGAGAGGCGGTTCGCCGTCGAGGTTGGCTGTGTTGGACAAAAGAATGGACAGCAAGCCGGCGGCGAAGGAACACGCAGCTGCGACAAAGAGCAAGAACCCAGACAACCGCTCGACAAAGGCAGCAGCGCCTCGCGAACGTGCCCGTGCGATAACTCGGACAAGTTGCTTTTGCACTCCACCAACCCCGAACCAGTCCTTAATTTGACTCGAGTTCTTTTGGCTCAAGCCATTTTGATTCGAGATTTCACAAGCGTTGCCAACGATTTCGAAGTCCGGAGCAAGATCCCTTAAAAACAAGTCTGTCCTGACGACCGCAGTTCGATAGCTCGTGTACGCGGCCAGCCACGCGGTGCCGTCTGCATGGCATGTGATTGCAGCGTGTCGCAAAGCCGCGGCGCATGCAGCAGTCACGCGCCTGTCAGGTGCACTTCATTGCTACCTGCCGGCTCGGAGGCCCTGTTTCCACTGATGGGGGAGGCTGTGCACCGTGATCTTGTTGAGGGCAGTGTGTGTCGCATTTTTGTGGAGACGCTCGGTGAAAAGAGTCCTGTCCTTGAACAACCACGGGTCGTGGTCCCGTGTCGCCCCCGCATGCCTGTGTGGACAGGTGCTGCATCGTAGCTGCTTGGCGGCCCAGAAGCGGGAGAAAAACGCGAGTTGGAGGCACTGGCCATGGCGGTCGGGCAAAAACTGCAGCGTCCCACCTCCAGTGATCGTGCCGCAGGCGTCACACGTGCCAAGCCGTGCCCTCGCCAATGGAAGGTCGCGCCCGTCACACGCACCCCTGCACGTCCTCGTCGCGCTCTCGTCGTCCACGTTGCCCGCCACTGCGAGCACCGGGCGCCGTTGGCAAGCAACACGAATTGCCAGCTGCCACGCTGCTTCGAGCGACCTGAGCAGCAGCAGAATACCGCCACCCACGAAGACAAAGGCACAGCTTTGGCGCTATGCTGGGACAGTTGTGGTCCGCATGTTCGTGCCCATGAAATCAAGTTGTGGCATCCTCCCGGAAGAACCTGTCTGATTGGAAAAAGTTACCTTCCGTCATCTGGACCTTCATCTCTCAGCTGGCTGATGTGTGGCATCTTGGGCCGCAACATTAATTGCACGGGTGCGTCTGAAACCAACTGCAGTCCGCACTCCCATTTTGCAGGCTTGGTAGCAGTTCGGATGCTGAGAGGATTCGGCATCTCCTGTTTCATTGTGATGTCGTTATGGATTGTTCTGCGCACGTTCCCGCAGGGACAGACAGTGCGCTTCTCTGCTCGAGCTCCCACCCGCTGGTGAGGCCAGCGTTGCGGGTGAGGCGCCGGAACTGCATGAAATCCTCGCGGATGTGCGGGGCAGCCTCCCCCCGACCAGCAGCCGCCTCCCGGCGCCAACCTCACACGCTACCTGAAACCCGCCGTAGGCTGTAGCTCCGGTTGCACTGGGACCGCGTCGACGGCTTCAAAAAGGTGCGTGGGAAAAAAAAGAAGAAGACAGTGCCACTCGCATGGCTGTGGGTAGCAGTTGGAGTGGGGCTCGGCAAGTCTTGCCCTGGCCAGAGGCGGCACAGAATCTCCGGTGACATCTGCAGGAGCGGGCCCTGGTCACTCAGTAGACAAGAATGACAAAAATACTTGCGTTTTGTTGCCGAGCTGGTCATGACTCCTTTGATCATGTTCGATGCGCAGTGATTCATGATGTGCGAGTAGCTCATGTGGATCATGTAGCTCTGCCTCCGGCCTGTCGCCAAAGGTGGCGGCGGAAGGCAACTCAAGCAGAGGCGGCGAACGTTCGCTCTGGGGATCTCTGGGGCGACTGCGAGGCGTGCAGGCCACCGCGCGACCCATGCGGTGATCCGCGGCGGGTCGAAGCTGCTGGGGGACGGCGGCACCAGGAGGCGTAGGAACTGGACTGCTTCGGTTCGGAACTTGCCGCCAGTCTTGGTGCCAAGAACGATAAGGCGGCATTCCGGGCATGCCAGAGTTCAGGGTAAGTGTTGGGACGCTTGCGCGCCGCACTGCTTGGCAAGGTGTCAGCGCGGGGAAGGGCCGGCATCAAGGTCGAGCTGCGACTGCGACCCGTGCCACAGCGGCAGGCCGTTGGTGACGATCTCGATGTGCTGCTGGTCCGCAACTGTCACGTCGAGGTTCATGTCGGCAACCGGACGCGCCAGCTTCGCGACTTACACGTGCGACAGCGTGCTCGAGAGGCAAGGACAGCACCCTGGAGGTGGCGCTTGCTGCGCGGTGATCACCGTTGCCCGTGGCAAGCGCATCTGCGTGGCGCACGCGGCGGGGGCATGCACAGACGCCGAAGCAGGAGGATTCGGAACTGTGCGCCTGGGCGCTGCCATGGGGATAGTGACCTCGTGGTGTGTGGCCGGGACATTGATGGCTCGGGCGGTGAAGGGCCATGCTTGCGAGAGCAGCGCACGGGACGCGGAGGAGAGCTCAGAAAGGTGCATCTCCAACGCGCGCTCGTCGCATGCTCGGGCGGCAAGTAGCTGCCACCCCTGCCAGCCTGTGAACGGCCCAGGGCTCGGAGTCCTCGTCGGGGCGGCGTGGGTTGAGCGGAGGCGGGCCAGCACCCTGGGTATCCCCGGGGCTTCGTGTCTAGCCGGCTTGTCGCAAATGTGATGGCGCAGCGACTGCGCTGCAGCATCACGTGCGTGGATGACAAGCAGTGTGTTCTGCCAAGGCGCTTAATGTGCGGCGCTTCCGTAGTCGCGCGCAAAGCGGAGCCCAAGCTTGCCGAACCACTGAACCAGGTGGGCGGCGCAAACTCGTCGGGAAAAGGGCGTTGGAACGACGAGTCGCTCCGCCT